CCGGCCCGAGGGGCGTGTGCGCGCGAGCCCGGGGTGGGGTGGGCATTGGTTCGGGCCCCTGTCCTCCAGAAGGGGATTCGCGCGGAGCTGCGGACGGTCGTGGGGGGTGTGTGCCTGACGCACGCGTCGCTGCCGGGCGAGACGCAGGGGGCGGCTTCTGCAGCCGGGGAACCCTGCTTTGCAGCCTGCACCCCGGCTCCCGCGTGGCCGCCGCTGTCTGTCTGTCGCCCGCCGGTGCGCTGAGCCCAGCCCTGCTTGGATGCTGTTCACGCCTCTGCGCTGGGTCCCTCGCTCCTATCCTCTGTTTCCTATTCCATTCTAGCAGAGCAGGGTGGGCTCCTCCACTCTCTACTGCGGAGAAGTCTGGTCACTGGCTCTTCAGGTTCTGTAGCAAAACGAGGTTTGATGCACCGGGGGTTCTCAGAAGTAGACGTCAGTGCCTGGTTTATCTTACTGTGAGAAGCAGTCCAATTTTTCAGCTATAAAAGGTCAGAACGTTCCTAATTAGAAGGCGTTGCCAGGTTGTAAATTGTCAGGTTGCAAGTGAGAGTGAGAATGCCAAGTTTCTGCCTATAGGTCTGAAGAAAGCTTACTTTTTTGGTGGGAGAGGGTGTTACCCCAGACCTGCTGTTTCTTTCTCTGCGCAGACCTTGCCATGGTGTATCTTTCCATCTCCTGTGACAGCCTTGCAAGGGGCCCTAGACATTGTTTGGCTGCAGCAAATGTGGCGTTTTCTTCCTGATTGGNTGTCAGGTTGCAAGTGAGAGTGAGAATGCCAAGTTTCTGCCTATAGGTCTGAAGAAAGCTTACTTTTTTGGTGGGAGAGGGTGTTACCCCAGACCTGCTGTTTCTTTCTCTGCGCAGACCTTGCCATGGTGTATCTTTCCATCTCCTGTGACAGCCTTGCAAGGGGCCCTAGACATTGTTTGGCTGCAGCAAATGTGGCGTTTTCTTCCTGATTGGAAGCGTTCGGTTATAAGGCTTCTGGTTGCCAGTTGCTCCTTTCTATTGGCGAGAAAGAATTGGAATCATCTGGATAAAGGATAAGCGTTGGTAGGGGTGGCTTTCACCTTTTTGATATGTATTGTGTAAGGTAGTTTTGTTGTGAACTATTTATGTGTTATGGAAAAAAAGCAGGAACAAGACCAGCTCGAGTTTAGGTAGTCCTACTCATATTTCAGTAGTCAAAGTAGTAGTAGTAGTCGCAAGTTCTCAGGGTTGGAGATCTGTGGCTTTAGCATCCTGGATGCCAGTCTTCATGTTTTCTCAGTGACAGGAAATTCCCCTGGTTTTAATCCCCTGGTTCCTGAGTGTTGCACTCTCCTGCTTCCAACCTGATCTTTTAGGTGCTTGCAATTTTGTCGAATTCTCATAAATCCTTTGTTACCGTTTTTTTT